GAGCAAAGGGCATCGCTACTAGGAGCAAGAAGCTGCTAGGGGCTCCTGGCCTTACTACTAGGAGCAAGAAGCTACTGGGAGCAAAGGGCATCGCTACTAGGAGCAACCTAAGAGATGTCCTCCACCCTAGCGATGGCCTCCAACATACTTGCGGCATCCAACTAGAAGCAATGGCCCCCAACTGGCACAAAGCGGGCAACCTGAGAGTGGAACCAGATTCGCTGCTGTTGGGTAGGCGACCTTGACGGGTAAGATCAGGCCTCAATTCCGATTGCTATCACGGTTGGTATTCATTCAGGTGTTGATGACTTCACTCATACGCTCAGCTTAGAGGGATTTCTTTGGAAGCCACATGCAACAAAACCACGCCTCTGGCAAATGCCAAAGCTATATATTCCGAGGGACTGTGGGGGCATCTTGAGACAAGTTGACCAGCAACAGCTTAAACATGCCAGTTTGTCGGCACTCGGTGGCCGGCTTGAACTCACACATGCGCTTGAGACGGCAAAGGCATGCCAAAACACAAAAGTGTCCACAAATATAAAACACATTTGTTCATCGTATTTCCAACATCATGTGTGTTTTTAAACAACTGTCCATTGAACTTTACTTGTTTCCAGTTCAAGTTCACACAAATGCATGAACGTTTCAAACACATCGCATAAACTTTGCGGAAGCTGCGCGGAACTTGCTTGGCCTCTTTGTCGAAACATTGAACTGGGATGCAATAGTGGTGGCTCTTTGGTTGGCGTTTCTACACTGTCTTGTCCAGAATCTCAAAGGTTGCTGAGATCTTGCTTTCACATGAGTCAAATAGCTGGATTGTGTTCCAAGCAGGCTTGACAAAGAATTGTTGACGGACGAAGGCTCCCTTTCCAAGGAAAACATGCGACCACGTAGCTGCTGTATCGCCGATCAGTGTCGGTTTTCCATCTCGCGCGTGATTCTGCAAAATTAGGCAAGCGCAGGAGGAGTATGTTTGCAGTGAATGATAGGATGGGATGCGGTCAAAGCAAAGCTACAAGACTCTGATTAGGCGATATCACATGAAACCTGCAGCAAAACGCGCAATAAAATATAGACCAACGACAAGCCGAAGAGCGATGGCCTCCACACTAGTAGCGATGGCCTCCAACCTACAAGCGATGGCCTCCACGGTAGTACTAGTAGCGATGGCCTCCAACCTACAAGCGATGGCCTCCACACTAGTACTAGTAGCGATGGCTTCCAACCCAATAGAACAGGGTGCACGTGGCAAGAAAAGAAAAGCAGCTGTCTTGCTTCAAGAAGGGGTAATGTACAAACCCAACACCAACCCCATGGTGTTTCTAGCGCTGTTATAGAAACACCCTGGGACCATGATGAAGTGAAGTGAAGTGAACAATTTCCTGCGTTCCGCGAAAGAGTCCTTTAGAATTACCCGTGTTAAGTAACAACTAACAACGCCTCAAAGCAACCCCACATTTCCGCCAACCAATCAATGTCGGTGTCCTTGTCAGACCTTGATACCACCAAAAGGAAAAAACAACGTGTTTGGTTGGAAGAGACAAATTCAATCACAGAGGAAAAACAGCAAGAACAACTTTAATTGGGCCTGGACTGGACGATGATGCAAATTGATGGCATACAGTTCCACGCCCCCATAGACGACACTTACTTGTGGACTCGAAAAGCCGCTGTCGCTTCCTTGATCACTGCAGTACAAGTCACACAAGGCAGTTCCTCAACGCCAAGCGTGAGATATTCGCAACTTCATCGGATTTAAGATCTGCATTGAAAGCCGCCTTTCCCACTTTGAAAGTGCTACAAGTTGTGAACACTGTTGGGCGCCTTCATCCAAACGACCAAAAGGCACGCTGGGCAGTTTCTGTTAGCACCATATCAAACTGCACTTCGGGATTGTTCTGCTACGTTCATTGCCGTGTGACAGCAAAAAACGGGCCCAGATTCTGGCAACGAAAGTTGTCCCTCAAATAGCATTTGCTCCTCAACTGAACTTCATCGCCAAGAAGAAGTTGAAACGCATACAAGCAGCATTCGCGGACGCTCTCTGGCAAGACCGCCCACATTGGCAGTGTAAAACCATCCTTAGGCATTGTGCACCAGGCCTTTTATAGGTTGGAACCGTTTTTGCGCCGCGCATTTACCACCATCATTGAGACTGCCCGTCGTTTGAAGACTGCCTCTGCGCGCCAATGTTGGAAAGAAATGTATGAACGAGATCAGCTTACACCGCAAGCACTGATGGCCTAGTTTTCTCAGGCATGCACCATCCTTCGCATTGAATAGAATGATGTTTTTGAATTCTCAAATTTCGAACGCCAGCCCATTTGCTTCTTGAGCATTGCCACGGGCGACCTGAAGTGTGTCCTCAAAAGTTTGGTCTCACACTCCTGCTACTTGACTGCGGCAAGACGCAATTTGCAATTATTGGATGCGCGATGACCGGTGACGAACTATTTGCAGCAGGTCTCCAACAAACCTCACATTGACGTTTTTGTGGGCAAGAAAATGAGTCGCTGCATCGCTTTGCATTTGAATCTCAGTCACTGCCAAATGAACTCAAGCGTCCTTACACCCCATGTTTTTTTGGACCAAATTTTGCGACGCTTGGTCGAGATTCCTTGTGACTGCTCGTACCAAACTGAGAGTTTCCCAGACATGTGACGTCATGGTGTCAGATTGGTCACAGCATATTGATGACATTTGCCACATGTGGAGCGATGGATCAGTTCAGTTATCCACACAGCCGCCAGTTTAAGATCACACGGTGTGTCAGGTTGGTCCAGTTTACCACTGGCCTCTAGCTTTGCAGCTGAGCTATGGGCGGTTTGGGTCACTTTTGGACAGGCCACGAAACCGCTCATTATTCACACAGACTCTTTGACTGTTGCACGCGCCTGAACCCTTTTCTGAGCCTGATCCTCCCAAGGTCCAAGACAACTGTGCCCAACGTGGCCATGGGACGCAGATATTGCACGATTTCCATGGAGAAGCAATGTGTCTTTGGATGTTCCGCTGAAGACGAAACGATATCTGTCTGTTCAAGACTTTCAAAGTTTTTGCAACACTGCAACTCCTTACCTGGAGCGTTGGCGAAGGCAAAGCTTGTTCTGTCTTTGAACTTGCTGTGGATGGTAACTTTCGGGGCTTTTGCCTCGATCTGCCCAAAGGAACTGTAGCCGCCCCTCATGCCTATGCCAAGACTTTGAGGGATGGCTTCCCTGTCTGTAAACTCACAAACTTCACCGTTGCTCCGCTCCTTCTTGAATTCAAGAACAAGAACAATGGCAAGTCGTGCCCCAAAGGAGCCTTTGTTGGCGCTGACTTGGCTTTCAAACAATGTTTTGGACAGCCTGTGTGGAGCATTTTGTCCCGAGGGGCAAAGGACACCCCTAATTCATGGCTCATTGCTTTTGATCTGATCGGATGATCATCTCCCTTGAGTTGGTCAAATTGGACCCTTGACGCGGAAGCTCAGGGGTCGCCGAGGACCTGGATCGTTCGGCGTGAGAGTAAAAAAGAAGCCCTCTTCAAAGCAGCATTGTTAAAAGGTGCACTTACTTTGTGTTTGTTCCCGTCTTTGGTAATCTGCAAGCCTAAGCACCTCCTCTTTTTCCATCACTGCCGCTTAAAGCCACGGCACAGAATTCTCAGTCAAAGCTTTGGGGTCAGATCTTTGTCCGCCTCAATTCAAGCCATCTCAAGCCACCTCACCTTAAGCACCCATACACTTCTGCAGCTTTTCCTCAGAATTTTATGGCAAGCTCGTGGGGAAAAGAACACAGGGCACAGGAATTTTTCTGCGAAGTCTTTGAACAAATGCTTTGGTTGTGGAAAATAGCCCCCGCCTGATTCTGCCGCAAAGACCATTCGGTTAAGGACGCATACAAGTTCCCTTGCTCTGGAAGTACAGCTGTAAAATCTGACCCGTCTGGTTTTGGCGAAAAGGTGCCCAAATAGGGAAACCCTGCTGTACCAGGGCTGTCATAAGCACCACTGTTGATGGCCGCCTGAGTCTTGTCAGGCAACTGAAGTTCCCACTTCACGGTCTTCTCCGTCCACACAAAAACCACTTTGATCTTCTTTCCAGCTTGGATCCCCCAATGTCTGTTTTCAAGCGTGGTGTACTTTCGATAGACCACTGTGGCATCTCCAGCATCTCTGAGCTCTTGAGCGCGACAGAAGAGGCTGAAAATCTCAGAGGTCTCAAAGACATGATTGTTGGAGTAGTCCAGGCCCTCAGAGCTGGACACGACCGCAGTCCCGCACCCTATGCAACCTTTGTTGGATGTCACAATATGTTACTAGTAGCTTCTTGTTTCTGATTCTTGTTTCTAATAGCTTCTTGTTGCTGTAGTACGGCCAGGAGCACCTAGTAGCGTACTTGTTCCTAGTGGCGATGCCAGGAGCCCCTAGTAGCGTCCTTGCTCCTGTTACAATATGTTACATAACCAAGGTCAAAAGTGCCAAGTCGCAGCTCTCAAAATGGTGTCTGGCAATGCGATCCCAAAGTAATCATAGATTGACTGCTGAAGACCAAGAGGGGTGCCCAAAAGGAGCAGCGGATTGGCCAAAATGGGTTCTGGTACCTGGGCAGCCCGCTGTATGGTCTATCACATTCCGATGCAGGATACGTGTGCGAACCACGTGAAAGTGGCCTTGCACAATGGGCATGAAAAAACTTTCTCAGTGACTATCAAGAAGCGTTGCAGAAATCCACGGTGCCTGACAATTTCAATAGTATGTCACAAATAGCGTCTTTGCTCCTAGTAGCGATGCCCGAAGCTATTAGTAGTTTCTTGTTACTAGTAGCGATGCCCTTTGTTACTAGTAGCTTCTTGTTACTAGCCAGTTTCAGTACGTCTGCAAATGTCAATCAGCTTCACACATGCCAGCATGTCTGCTGACCGTCGATCAAAGGTGCCTTTGTCCTCGATGGGCCAACCGTTGTTCACCAAAACCACGGCGCATTCAGCCCCTCCGCGGATTGCTTCCAACAAGCCGGCACTGTCAATGCCTTTGCCGTCCACATCTGAAACATGGTCTGTTTCATCTCTGCACAATTGAATTCCTTGAGGCAAACGCTATTGCAAGTAGGAGGCCATGGCTAGTAGGTTGGAGGCCAACGCTAGTAGATCGGAGGCCGTCACTATTAGGTTGGAGGCCATTGCTAGTAGCTTGGAGGCCATCCTGATTAGGCCACGGGCCATCGCTAGTAGGTTGGAGGCCATCACTACTGCGTTGGAGGCTATCGCTATTAGGTTGGAGGCCATCGCTATCAGGTTGGAGGCCATCGCTA